AAGTCTATGTCAACTTACGTCTCTCCTCTGCTCAAACCTCTCCCACGGTTGTCATCTCACTCCAAATCAAAGCTAAGCCTTTACAGTGGCCCTCAAGGCCCCACACTGTCTACTTCCTGCCTTACTGGCCTCATTCCTCCCACTCTCCCCTCCCCACTTGGCTCTAGCTTCCCTGGGCTCCTCTTTCTTCCTCCAACATACCAGGTGCACTCCTCCCTCAGGGCCTTTGCACCTGCTCTTTTCTCTGCCTGGATCCTTCTTCCCCCAGAGACCCATATGGCCCACTCCCTCACCTCCTCCTTCAGGTCTCTGCTCAAATGCCACCTCCTCAGTGAGGCCTCCCCTGTCTATTATATTTAAACCCAAAGCCCTACTCTCACCCCCTTGTACCCCAACCCCTCATCCCCCTTCCCTGATATGTTTTTCTCCACAGTCCTTATCATCTAACATACTATATATATATTTTTTATCTTTTATTTTTTTTACTTCTTTTGCATGTTGATTGTCTATTTCCCTAGAATGTGAGCTCATGAGGTCAGGAATTTGTGTCTATTTTGTTCGCTGCTATATCTCCAGTGCCTAGAACAGTACCCAACACACAACACATGCTTAATAAATATTTTTGTCAAATGGATGAGTGAGAATCTGTCTTCAAGGCTGATGCTCGTAACCACCATACACTGTGTTCAAAACACTGTGTGAACTCTTCATGTGTTGGCTTCTGATCACATCTCTCCATCTCTCCTGCCTCTGCTAGGGTCCGGGCAAAGAGCCCCTCCTCCCTGGAGTCTGGCTCCATCCTAGCCCCCAGGCTGGCAACCCCTCCATTGCCCCTTTGATGCCCATGCCACTCCCCTGTGTAAAACCCTCCAACGTCTCCAGGATTGCACCCCAAACCGCATGCTGGGGTTTTTCATACTGTTGGTCACAACTGGTTAGGGGACTGTGAAATCAACCAACATTTTTCAATTGAAAAGAATAGATGGGAGTCTGTGCACATCGTGTAAAACATAGTATAAACGAAGGTATAGGTGAAGTATGATTTCATGAAACTTTTGTTTCAGTGTTATATGCATTGAATGATGATATAATATCTCTTACCGTGGGTCAAAACGGTTTGCAAGCTCCTGCACTCCACAGTCCTGACTCCTAAATCCCATGCACAGACGGGATGGAGAGTATTAATATTAGCTCAGATTTCTCTCTTCGCTGGCTGGGACCCAGGCCAAGTGGTTTCACCTGCTTTGGTTCTTGGACTCCTTGCCGCACCCTCAGCACTCTTATGATTCCCAGTTGACAGATGATGAGATGAGGCTCAGACTGGGGAAAGCCCACGCCTGAGGTCACAGGTCTAGGAAGAAAAGCCAACCTCCCTCCTCAGACTACCCACTTGCCAGCTTGCCCTGCCCCTCCCCATCTGCTCCCCGTCTACATGGAGCGCTCAGGTGTGCCAACCCATCCTCAGTGCCCCAGGTGCAAGGTGCCTCATAGATCCTCCAACACCTCGGCTGGTGGTACCATTTGAACTCCCATTTTGTGGGCCGGAAAACTGAGGCTAGCAAGCATTTCCAGGAATCCACCATTCCATCACCCTTCTCCAAACTTCTTTAAGTGGCAGGAGAGAGAAATGGCTAAGGCCATGTCTTTGACTGCCTGGGTTCAAATCTCATGTTTCAAAACTGGGTGATCTCAGGCAGCCTCTCTGGGCCTCAGTTTCCTTTCCTGCAAAATGGGAATAATAATAGTACTTACCCATAAGGCCATGCTTAAGACTTAAATAAGTTGGAGTACATGCAAAGTTCTTAGTTCAGCAGCCACACCCCTCTGTTGAGAATCATCCCAACAGCCCTATGTAATTAGATTACTATGTGCCCCCCAACATTGTTGCAGAGACTCAGAGGCCCTTGCTTGAGTTCATACAGCTAGAAAATGGGAGAGTGAGAATTTGGATACAATTCTGGGCTGGGCTTTTAGCCACTGAGTCACAATAACCCTTGGGGTATTAGTATCAATAGCAACAGCAGGAACATTTTCCAAATTAAGGAACATGAGACTCAGAGAGGGTAAAGACATGCCCAAGTCACACAGCATGTAAATGTCAGAGCCAAGACTCAAACCCTGGCTTGTGTGTGTCCAGGGGCAGGCTGACCTTTGTCCCATGAGTCCCTCTATAAAACTCTGATGGAGCAGGAGGAAAAAGCACGTCGAGGGGTGTTTGGTCTGGAGGGTCTTGCATCCTTGGCTCCAGCCCCTCCCTCCCCACCATAAGGTGACTGCTCCCCTGGGGGCCCTGGGGTGGAGGTACCGGGGTGGCATGGATGATGGCAGAGGGTGCAGCAGCCCCCTCCTCTGGCCTCTGATTGGGGCCCTGCAATCCCCCAGGATTTGGTGCTTGGAAAGCTGACGTTAGGTTGCTATGGCAATGGGTTTGGGGCGGTTGCCATAGCAGCAGAACTAGCCTGGGTTTAAAAATATCTAGGAGGAGGTTTGTGTTTGTGTGTGAGTGTGAGTGCGTGACCAACCGTGCTGTCGTGTGTGTCCAAATGGGAGGGCTTGGGGGGGGGTGTGAGCTGGGGCTGCAGGCATGACTTGGGGGTGGGGGCTGACCAATACTCAGGATTCCGTGTGTGTTGAGCATGTCACTGAGTGGCCTGTGAGGTCTCGTGCATTTTGTGCATTAGACTACGAGAGCCATGTATCTAAATGTGTGTGATTATCCAATTTGTGTGGAAGGCAGGATTGGGTCTGTTTGTCAGTCTATATATCACATGTCACTAACATGTATGCCTTATGTAACATAGGTCGTTTATGTCTTATGGCTTTGATCATGTACTTGTAACTTCTCAGATTGTGTGTGGCCAAGGGTGGAGTTATTTTGGCTTTGAACATGTGCACCTGGGACATACTTGGATATCAGATGTGTGTCTATCTATTTTTGCATGAGAGCCTGTGATATATATGGTCCACATGACTGAATGTGCATTATCCATTATGGGAGAGTGTGTGTGTGTGTGTGTGTGTGTGTGTGTGTGTGTGTGTACCTATCCCCATGAATCTGCTTCATACATCAGAGTGTGCCTGTGTGCAACTGTTGAGTATACACCTGTGTGTCTGCAGGAGGGCTGGTGTGACTGTGTGTGTGCTGGAGATGTGGAAATTCATGCCATACTCCATGGATGTTGGGATATGTACCTGTGTGGTGTGAGTATATGTGAATCAAAGGGTCTAAGGTGTGGATCTCAGCCTGACCCCGGTGCCTCCCTGCATCTCTCTTGCCTCTTCCTTGTCTCCATAGCAACTAGCTCCTCAGCTCCCTCCAGGAAGATGGAGGGGGAGGATCCAGACTGCAGTGGACCACAACCCCCTCGAATCCCCCTTGGCTCCGGGGACAATGGGGGGGATGGGACAGATGGGAGGTCACTTCATCCTCCCCAGGCCATCTGTTACCCTCCCCATCCTGGGGACCTGAGAGCATGGCAAGGGTGGGGCAGGAGTGGGAGAGAGCAGAGGGAGGCCCCCCCAGCTGCCACAGTTACCCCCACCCAGGCCCCCTCTGAGCCTAATCTTGCATCTGGCTGACCTAGGAAGAATCCTTGAAGACAAGAAATTCAGGGAGAAGAAAATTCATATATCAGAGAACAGTGAATATTAGCAATGATCCACTCCAAAGAAAGGCCCCCTACTTCAGGTTCTGAAATAAAGCTTGTCCTGCGTTCAAATCCCGGTTTCCCCTCTGTCTGTCTACCTGTGTGCCCTTGGGTGAACCACACTCCATTTTCCTGAGTGTCTGCTTTGTTGTCTGAAAATCAAGTTTTCTTAATGACATGAATAGTCATACCTTAGTCTACAAGGGCCAAGACTGTTTTGTTCCCTGTTGTACCCCAGTGTTTAGGACAGTGTCTGACACTTGTAGGTGGTTCGTAAGTGCTGTTGATTGACCTGAGCGCCAACTGGATGTTAAGCTCAGCTCTACACGCCTAACAGGTATTCATTAAACTCAATCCCCAGAGCCCTGGCAGTAATACTGCGTTGATTCTTCAAAAGATGGATGAAAGATTCGAGGGGAGAACTTCCCAGCTGTCAGAGGTGGGAGACATGTGAAGTGAGAATTCTTATCGCGACCATGTGACGTCAAGTCTCTGAGGCTCAGTTTCCTTCTCTGTAAAATGGGGATGATAAGAGTACCAGACAGAGTCGGTTGCTCTGGGAATTAAACGTGGTAAGGTTTGTGAAGCGCTTACTTAGAACCGGACTTGGCACACAGTAAGTGCTCAATAAACGTACGTTACAGGTGAGGGGTGGGGAAGTTGTGGATGAGCCCAGGGTCCTCCTTGTAGCATGGGGGAGCCTGGTCCCTCTCGCAGCGCCGAAAGGGGCGTGGTCAACTTAGGGGGCGTGGTCCCGGCTTCAAGGACAGACCAATGGGGGCGCCGAAGGGCGCGGCCCTGACCGGCATGGGCGTGGCTTTGATCGGGTGGGAGGGGCCAGGCCGCTGTGGGAGCCTCCGGGAAGAAGATGCTCGGGCCAGCAGCCACCGCCAGCCCTGCCGCCGCTGCCGCCCGCACCCGCCACCCCCGGGGTCCCCACTAGCGGCTGCCTCCGCCTCCCACCTCCGGTCCCGCTCCTCCGGCCCCCCGCCCCGAGCAGGGCCTGGGGGGCTCGGTCCTCCACCCGGGGGAGCAAAGAAGGGGGTCCCGACCCCCCCCCAGTGGCGCGGCCAGTCCCTGGCCTCCGTAATCTTGAGAGAGACCCCACCCCTCAGTTCTCTCCGGACCCTATCGGGGACCCCCCTTGCCCTCCCGTCCTGCTCACATCCTCTCTCCAGGCTCTGTCAGCCCCCCAGAACCAGCTCCCTCCCTCCTTCCCTCTCCAGGGTTCCCCCTCCCCCATCCCTCCGCCGCCGCCCCCCCCCCTCCCACATCCCCTTCCCTCCCCCTCCCCCACCCCCGTCCCCCCCCGACCATGAGGATGATGGCCGCCGGCGCGGTGCACGGCCTCCGCCGCCGCCGCCGCCGCAACCCCAGCCTCCCCAGCAGCCGTCGCCGCCGCCACAGCAGCCGCCGCCGCCGCCGCCGCAGCCGCCGCAGCAGCAGCAGCCGCCGCCCCAGGCCCCCCCCATGGAGCCCGAGGCCCCGGATTCCCGCAAGAGGCCCCTCGAAACGCCCCCCGAGGTGGTCTGCACCAAGCGCAGCAACACGGGAGGTGAGAAAGGGTTGCGACTCGGTGTGGGGGAGCGGGCAGGGGGCCTCGCCTTTCTCCATCCTCCTCCCCCGCCGTGGCAGGTGCAAGGGCTCCGGGGCGGGGAAGGGCGCCCCTCCCTAGACCCGGGAGCTGAGAGGGGCGTTGGGGAGGGGGCCAGACCCCCTCCCTCTCTCGCCGCTGCCGGGGGCTGGGAGCTTTGTCTGCGTTGAGAGGGGATGGGGGGGGAGGAGGTGGTAAGTGTCCTTGGGGGGCGCAAAGGATGGGGGGCGTGGGTCCCTCTGGGCGGGCGTCTCTGTGTCCTTGAGGGGTGTGTGATGTGACCCTTTCGGGGCAGGGGTGTTCCCGGGCTGGCGTGTCCTGGCGGGGGGGGGGAGGGGAAGGAGAAGAGGAGGCCTGTGGACCTGGAGCTTCCCAGCCTCCCTCCCTGGGGATGTCCTGAGCAAGGGTTGTCCCAGAGGGAGGCATGAGTGGGCCATGGGTGAGATTGTGCGTGGGGACAAGCTGGGTGGGTGTGTTGGGTGAGATGGAGGAATGGGTGGGTGTGTAAAGCTAGGTGGGAGAATGTGTGGCTGGGAGAGGTGTGTGTGTGTTTGTGTGTATGTGCGCGTGTGGGCCCTGTAAGGCCTGGATGTGTGACATTAGGGATCATGGATATGAGAGGAAAGGTGTGTGTGTGTGTGTGTGTGTGTGTAAGAGACAGAATGAGATGAGGGGCTGGGCTGTGTGTTTGAGACCCTCAAAGGGGTACGTGTGGCAAGGGAAAGTGTGTGCATGTCACCCTAGAGGGGGCTGTGGCAGTGTGACACATGAGTGAGAGGGTGTGTGTGACATGCAAGGGGGTGTGTGGGGGAAGCTGAATGGGCCAGCTCTGGGTGTGAGCCATGAGAGGCTGTATGGATCAAGGAAGGCAGTTCAGTGTGTGTGACACAGGCGTGTCTGGGGTGGGGTGGGACCAGGAGAAGCCGGTGAGGGTATGTGACAAGAAAAGGGTGTGGGTGTGACTCCAAAGAGGCTGTGGCTGGGTGTGACACATGGAGGTGTGCAACAGTGACATCAGAGGGGGCGTGTGCAACAAGGGAAGGTGGGTGTATGACGGGAGAGGTTAGGGCTCTGTGGGTGAGCTGCACGAGGGTGTGTAACAAGGAGAGGGAAGGATGGGTGCCCGTGTGACAGGGAACAGGGAATGTGTGTATATGACACCGAAGGGGTATGAAAAGGGAAGGGGTGTGTGTCTATATATATATCTGTAACAAGGGGAGGGTGTGTGTGTGTATATATATATATCTGTAACAAGGGGAGGGGGTGTGTGTGAAATGGTTGAGTATGTACCACTAGAGATGTGGGAGTGATTCTGCGTGTGTGAGAGACAAGGGATTGTGTGTGTGTGTGTGTGTGAGAGAGAGATGTCTGAGTGTTTGACAACACAGAAGGTATGCGCGTGTAAGACAGGAGGGCCCCCACTGTGTGTGTGACCTGAGGAGGTATGTGTACCAGAGAATAAAAGACAAGCTGGAAACTCTAGTGGGTGTCTCTCTGGCCAGGGACTCAGGAAGGAGGGATTCTCAGTCTCAGAGCCCAGCCTATTAACTCCCTGGATGGAGGGAGACCCCAGAGCAGACAAGCCCCTCCCTGCTGTCACCTTGGCCAAAATCTGCTTCCTCTGGCCTTTTCCTCCGGATGGGAGAGGGATGACCTGGGGCAGAGTGCATGCTCCCCACTCCACCAGGCTCTGTAGTGGGTGGGGTGGGGACCTCCCATCTCTTCCCCTCTATGGAACACAAGCCAAGTCTCATTCCTCCATTCCAGCGCCACCCCCCCCAACTCCTGTCCAGGTGGGACAGGAATCAGGGACCCCCTGGCTGCCTGTGAGAGTGTGTCCAGCAGAAATTGAAGGAAAGGGAAGTTGGGGGAGGGGTGGGAGGGAGTTTCCTGTCCTTCTTCCTGCTCCCCCCACCCCCAGCACACACATGAATATGTCCCAGCCAACTTCCTTCCCTTCTTCCTGCTCCACTGCCATTCCCAGTCCTGGAGAGAGTCGGGGATCCAGGCGGGGACCCAGGCAGTCCCTGAGCCTGACCTGACAGCCCGGCACTGCCCCTGCTTGGAGGGGGGTGTCACATCCTTCTTTTAAAGGGGCTGAGGTGCTCCAAATCTAATTGCTCCGAGCAGCACAACCTAACAACAATAGAGATGCTGCCAAGGACGGTCAGGCCCAAGTACTTGGCACCTACTAGAAGTCAGGCTCTGAGATATGGGTTAATTTCCTAATACAACCCTCCGGGGGAGATGATTTGAGCTGCTGTTTCACATGAGGAAAACAGGCTCAGCGAAATGAAACCACTTGCCCAAAGTTACACAGCTCATAAGTTGGTGGAGCTGGGATCTATCCAACCTTGGGCTGTCTGGCTCCAGAGCTCATGTGCTTAACTGCTGGGCATCCTGCCTCCCTCAGTAGCAGGGGAAACTAGGATGAGCCTCAGGGAGCCTCTCCTCCAGGCTCTTCCACTTCCCTTCCTGGTGACCTGTGGGGAAACTGAGGCCTGGAGATGCAAAGGGACAGTCCTCCGTTTACAGAAACACTCAGGAGGCAGCGTTGGGCAAGGATCCGGGACTTTCATCTCAAAATTGAGGGCTCCTTGCAATAATACTGTCATGACTGGGGGATGCTGGGTCAACCTCACCCCTTTCCTGAGCCTCAAGAGTCACCATCTGTCAGGTGGGAAAATCACAATAACTACAAGGATGATAGTAATAACCACTTACCAATATTATTGCTCACTGCTTTATAGGCAGTATTTCATGTAATTCTCCAACACTCCATGATGTAATAATTAACCATAATAAATTATAATAATGGCTAATATCTATGGCCTGCAGTGTACCAGGAAGTATTATGGAAAATGCTTGGCACAGACCAATCATGTAATCCTTACAATTCTTTTAGGTTACCCTTCTTAACAGATGACAAACCGAGGCACAGAGAGGTTAAGTAACTTGCCCAAGGTCGGTCAGCTAATTAGAGGCAGAGTTGGGATTTGAATCTGGGAGGCTGGCTCCATTATGTGGGTGGACGCTATAGTGAACCCCATTTTTGGGTGAGGAAACCGCAGCCCAGAGGGTCGAGGGAGTCTTCTGGGGTGTCACAGCAAGCAGTGGCGGACCGGGCAGATCGAGCTCTTGCCCGCAGCGCCAGCCTGCCTACCACTCCTGCCCATTCTCGGGGGCTCAGAGAGGAGATGGTGGCTGTTCCAACTGATGTCTGGGCACTATGACTGCCAGACGCCATTGGGAGGGACACAAGGCACCTAGAGACAGGAGAACTCGGGTGAAGAAGTTGAATGGAAACTCAGGTTAGGAACTCACTCATCAGAGAGACAAATGACTATAGTCTGGGCGGGACAATACCAAACGATGCCCCCCTCCCCCCCCTTGAGTACGGATGAAACTCTTAAGGTGCCACTAGCATGGCATACTCCTGACTGTATTCCCACCTCTGTCACCCCCGTATGAACAGAAACAGCAGCTTCCCTCCCCACATACACACGCACATGTGCACCAGTCACCGACCCGCCGACCCCCGCCCTGCTTCGAGCTTCCAGCCACCAAGTCTTGCTCCCAGCATCCTCTCCGCTTCCCATAAAGACAATGTCACCAGGGTTAAGAGCCCCGAGAGTGAGAACCTTCCAGGGTCCATCTCATCACTGCCATGGGCTCGGTGTGGGACCTTGGGCCAGTTATTCCACTGCTCCGAGACTCAGTCTCATCTGGAAAATGGGAGCTGCGAGATGTAAGCCTGGCTGGTGTGTGGGTTAAATGAGACTGTATATATGAAGCACACAGCAAAGCGTCAATACACGATAGTTGTCGTTACTACTGTTATCCGTGCCTCGGACCGAGAATGTCATCGGAGGCCTGTTGCACCATCCCGCGGCGCTTCGCCCCGAGGAAATCATACCCATCCACCTTTCTCTCACTCAGAGACGGTGTCACAGCTCGAAGACGGCATCACACCTTGGGCATGCCGTCCCCCCCAGCTTCGGTTGGATTGCATTTCTCGCGCCAACCGGCAACACCATCATTCACGGAGACCGCTTCACACACCTGCCGGTCCCGCCCTCCCGAGTGGTGCTGCTCCCCGCACCACACCCCGCCCGTGTGGTCTTGTCTTCCGCCAGCCACGTCCCCACACACTCCCACGACAATGTCAACATCACACCCCTGCCGCCTCACACCTCCGCGGAACACACCAACACCTCCGTCCCCAACCTGCAAGTCAGAGCAGGTCCCAGGAGCACGGCACCCCAACTCTGGTTCCCCTAGACCTCCTGTCACTGAAAACACCCCTACAACACCCCCCACCCCTTCAGCTCTACCTTTGTCCTTAATGACTTCCCCCCACCTTTAAAGCCTCCTATCAGGGTCAACGCTCTGATAAAAAGTGCGGCTCTTACCACAGAGCACCCCAAATCTCTTGGGTAGGTCTCCATTATTTAAGGGGAGAGGGGTATTGGTTGCTCTTTGGAAACTCCAGAAGCATTTCTGAAGAAAGTGGGCACAACGGGGGGTGGGGGGAGGGACTAGAAGAGGGAGGGAATGCTTGACGTTGTAACAGGAGGAAAACCAGCAGGAGAGAAGTGGGCATTTCTAGTTCTCCAGCCACGGTCAAGGGTAAAGGGAGCTTCCTGAACCCCAGGGGGAAAGCTAAGAGGGGGATGGAGATAGGTGGGTGTGGAGTTCTGGCATTTAGATCCTATTCAGTAGAAGGAAGAACTTTTTCACAGGCAGAGCCTTGGTTGTTCAAACTGGGTGGGAGCGTGTGAGGTCTGGGGGCTCCAGGTTCAGCCGAGGGTATGTGTCTCCCCTTGCTGCAGAGCAGGCTGGGAAACAGAAGCCTGGCTTTTTCCTGGGGGACATGGGACTCACATGGGGCGTTAAAGGTGGGGGACGAGTGCTCCCAAAAGGGAAAGACATGAAGAAGATTCTGAAGAGGGTCAGAGGGGTCTGTTGACCATAATGGGGACTCTTGCCCTGAGTTCTGAGCTTCTGCAGGTGGGAGTCATTCTCCATAGGAGGCTGGCCTCAGGTGAAGGCTCCCAGTTTACATTCGTCTGATACAGGGATCCTCGGGCACCCAGAAGGTGGCTTAAGGGGGTCCATGGACAAACTTTTTTTTTTTTTTTTTACCCTTGTACGTTTATATTCTATGCTCTGGAGGGGGAAAACATAACCAGGTTTCAGACTCTTGATTATTAGCAGTGGTTTTTAAGTGTCCTCTTTAAAGAGATGCATTTAAATTTTAAAAGTGAGTGGACTTGAAGGAAATGGACTGTCTGTTCCCTGCTGTGTCACCAGCACCTCAAACAAGGCCTGGCACAGAGTGGGTGCTCAGGGAGGATTTGTTGGAGGAAGGGAGAGAAGGGGGAGAGATGGAAGGAAACAGTACTGAGGGGATACATCGAGGGCAAAGTCAAGAAGTGGCATGAGAAGGAAGGGAGTCAGAGAGATGCTGGGCAGGGTCTTGCTTCCATCGGCGAGAGCTCATTCCTCCTCCAAGAAGCAGAGAAAGGCCTGGGACAGCCCCTAGGGGCAAATGATGAAGGAAGTGGGGTCTCCCCTCCTTCTCCCATCGCTCAATGAAAACCTCAGACCTCAGAGGCTCGTCTCCCCATTTGTAGAGCACTTACCCTGGGCCAGACGCTCTGAGAAGAACTTTGCTTGGGTTCCTGACATCGGTAATGGTCATGATGATGATGGAGGTAATGATAGCTAACATTTCTCAAGTGCTCCACGTGCCCGAGATCATCCTAAGTATTTTACAGTTTATCACTTAATTAATTACCATAGCCCTCTGAGGTAGTGCTATCACATCCCCATTTTGCCAATGAGAATACTGAGGCCCCATGAGGTGAGGTGGTTTGCCCAAGGCCCTGTGGTCCGTCAGGGACAAAATTCACACTCAGTCTAAGGCTGTTTCTGCTGTTGCATACAGAGATTCCTGGGGAAGGGGAAGGCAGAGGGCACAAAAAATGGGGTGGGGGATGTACCAGTTTTCTTCAGAGTAGATGAACACCTTCCACCTTCAAGAAGGAAGTTGGGAGAGAGGCCCTGGCTGGAGAGAAAATAGGGATTGAAGTTAAAGAAGGAAAAAGAGCATAGAGTCCTTTGTGAGAATGCCCTCCCCATCTTTCTGAGCCTTTCAGGGATGGAGGACTGGTCCCCCATCTCTGTGACAGGTTTAGGGATGGGGCAGGGGCAGGGAAGAGGCTGCCTCTGTGAGCCCAGGGAAGAAAGTGAATTCAGGGGGGGTCAGGATGATTGATGGGAAGGCGCTCTGGTGGGCTAATTACCTAATAGGTTTAATGGTCTGATGAGGCAAGTTTAAGTGGATTGCCTTGGGCTCAGGACAACCCCTTGATCCTGGACCCCCTCCCCATGCCTGTGAAGCCACATCCAGCCCCTTGCCCCTGTACCCCCATCTTAACACATCAGGGAGCCCAGAACCTTCAATCTTAAGGGATCAGGCAGACATGGGCAGGGTTCCCGGCCCCCCCCACCCTGCCCCCACTTTTACCAGAACAGTTTCTCTTTCATCTGCTCTGTGTGTTGGAGTTTCATGTGAGACATTGAAAATAGACTTCCTTTGCTTAAAAAGAAAAAAATTTAAAAACCACTGGGGGATGTTTTAAGACCTTAAGCTTTGGAAGCAGAGTGACCTGGCTCCTCCCTTCCTTTCTCTAGCGTTTATTGCATGCCTACTATGTGCTGGGCCATGGCATGAGTCCCTGGGACACGGGTGAGCTCCAGTGGACTAATGTGATACATTGCTCTGAAGGCACGAAATGAACGGGAGGGGATCCATCTCCTCCCCAGGCTTCAAAGAAACCTTCCAAGAAGAAGCAACATTTGAGTGGGGACCTGATGGACAAGAGGAATTCACTGGGGGAGGGGAGTTCCACGCAAAAGGAATGTGCAAAGGCCCTGAGGTGGGTGGGAGGAGGGAACATTTAAGGAACAAAGAGGAAGTAGGTCTGATGCACATAGAGGAAGATGAGGGCGTGAAGCTGGAAAGAAGTGCAGGGCCAAATCACAGAGGGTTTTATACTGAGAAGGCTCCAGAATTTCTACCCTATGAGAATGTAGGGACAACAGTTGGGTTAAAAGGTAGGAGAGGTTAATCATGTGCCTTGAGTGCTTTAACAAAGCGCTTTACACATGACCAAGAAAATTGGTCCATAACAAAGAATGGCCACAGTCCCACAAGTGACCACTCACACCACCTCACCGCCCCTGGGTCTTGGAGACTGTCCTTGAGTGCATTGGTCTTCGGCCACCAGCTTCGGAAGGTCCTAAGCAAGTGAGGGCCAAGAATGAAGCAGAATTGCATTGGAATCTCAAGCCAGTGACTTTCTTGGTGCCCTTGGGCAGCTGACCTTGGGCTGGTGCCTTCACCACTTCCATGCCTCAGTTTCCTCCCATGTAAAAATGGAGCTCATTATACCACCCTCATTGGGAGTTGTAGGGAATGGTTGAGGTCAAGCTTACAAAGCACTCATCACAGTACAGGGTGTATATTGAGTGTGGAGGGATCTTCTGGAAACCTAAATCAGATCGCATCCCTCCTCTGCTCAGAGCCATCTCTGGTTCCCATGGTTCCCATCTCACTTGGAGTAAAAATCAAAGATCTCACCGTGGCCCCACCACTACCACCACCCCTCCCAGCCCTCATCCCCTTCCACTCTCCACCTCTCTTCCTCAGCCCCAGCTACACTGGCTACTTCATCTTTCCTTGGACAACTCAGGCACAATCCCATCCCAGGGCCTTTGCACTTGCTCTCCCACAGAGCCACATGGTTCCATTCCCACCTCCACAGCCTGGAAACAATCAGTCATAAGGGTCTAGAGCCTGGACTCTAAGGCCAGGTTGCAAAGTACTTCTTTCATAGCATCAGTGTGAAAAATTAAAAGAACTAGTATTTGTGTAGTACTTGGAACAGAGTCTAGTGTATACTAGGTTCTGTAGAAGTGTTTGGTAAACAAAGGATGCCACATTCTTGGGGAGGGCTCTCCTGGCCTCCGGATCTGACACTGCAGCCCCTACAATCCCCCTTCCCTTCTCCTGCCCCTTTTTGTTTTCTTGGTGCTGACCGCCATCCAACATAAAACATACTGTCTGTCTCCCCCACTCTAGAAGAATGTAGCTGTGTGAGCTCTTGGCTAAATCACTGAAACTCTCTCGGCCTTATTTGCCTCATTTGCCTGCGAAATCAGGGAGTTTGTCTGTTTTCCTCACGGCTGTTTCACTAAAACAGTGCCAAGCGTGTGGCAGCAGGTGCTCAGTAACTATTCGTGGAATGAACGAATGAATGAATGAGTGAGTGAATGAATGAAGATCATTATTTGTATTATTCTCCCTGCTGCTGTTCTCCTGGCCATTGCTCCTGTATGTTCCCGTGATGCCGGTGGCTTCCTTTGCCCACACCATGCCGAAGGTGAAGACCCCTTCCCCTGCCTCCCTTACCTCCCCTACCCGTGTGCCCCTGCAGAGGAAGGCGAATACTTCCTGAAGGTGCTGATCCCCAGCTACGCGGCAGGCTCCATCATTGGCAAGGGCGGGCAGACCATCGTGCAGCTGCAGAAGGAGACAGGAGCCACCATCAAGCTCTCTAAGTCCAAAGACTTCTATCCGGGTGAGCCCTGGCCCAGGACTCTGCCCTTGGCCTCCTGTCCCTCCCACCTGGGCCCTGGATAAGGGGGAAGAAGAGCTGCCCTTGGGGCAGTCATAGTGATAGGGGGCCTCCCCTCCTCCTAAGGGGACAGAGCTGCCCTCAGCCCCAGGGGCCACGCCTGAGCAGATGGGGGTGGGGGCAGGGCAAGACAATGGGCCTGCTGCATATTCATGAGTTCATTTGCATGATGTGCTGGCAGATGTGCCCCTTCCCACACACCTGCCTCTTTGGGTCAGTTGGAGTTGCTGGAGGAGGGTGGGCAGGGAGGCAGGTGTCAGGGTGTCCCTTGGGGTTGGGGGGCCAGCCAGCCGTGTTGCACACTCCCCCCCCACACACACTTCTTTCCCCCCACTCTTTCCCTTTGGATTTCTCTGTTACCCCATCTTGCCCAGTTTGAGTCTCGCTGGTTTTCTCTGTCTGTGTCATTCTTCCTACCTCTCTCTCATTCTGTTTCTGACTTTCCCATCTCTTGTTCCCTGAGTCTCCATTCCTATCCACCTCTCTCTGGCTCCTCTTTTTTGCTTCTATCTCTCTGATTCTGTTTGGATGTCCCCCACTGCTTGTCCCCATCCATCTGTCCTGTCCGTCTCTGCTTTTCCCCTCCCTCCCTCCCTGCTCTGTCCTCCCCTTCTTGTCTTCCCACCCCTCACCCCATCTTTTCCTTGCCCTCCACCTCTCATAGTCTCGTGTTTTTCTTTCTCTTGCTCCTGAACTCTCTCTGGTCAACCATCCACTCAACAATATTCAGTAGCACCCCCTCAACGATCTGCTGGATCGCCCCTCACCCACCTCTCCCTTCATGTTTCCTTCCCAGTCTCAGCCCCCACGTTTTTCCTTCCTTCCTCCAAACCCAGCCCCTTTTCTGCCTCTCCCCCAGCTCTCTTTCTCCCTACAACCATAACATTTCCAAGGCCCCTCCACTCCCTCTCTACTGTTCCCTGCATTATCTGTCACCCCATCCATCTTCCCCTCCCAACACCAATGCCTGGGCTTCGACATCTAAGGATGTCCCCCAGGGAAGGCCCCCAGAACTGCATCTTTGGTCCAGAGCTGATTCTAGTTCATCCTTAATCCCCTTGGATTTTTTAGGTCAAACACCAGAGCTGGAGCCCAGGGTCAGGACACATTCATATTCTCTCTCTCTCTCCCTCCTCCCTCCACCTGCCCTGCCTCCCATCTCACTAAGCAGCTTTGGCAAGAGGTTTAGAGAAGCGTCCAGGGAACCAGGCACATACCCCCACCCCACTTTCCTCTTCCACCCTGGCCCAGTTTCCCTCACACACCCCCTAGGCCACAAGATACGGATAAGACCTCTGCTTGGGGCATTTATCCGAGGACACTTGGTTCCTTATGCCTGGATCACATTCTGTGACATGAGATACATCCTCTCCTCCCAACTCAATGACACACCCCATAGGCCAGGCAGCTGAGAACCCCAGAGGATGGGACAGTCATTGGCCTTCTTGGGCCAAATACTATTCAAACAAGCAACGTGAGCCAGCATCTCTCTCCAGGCCCAGGACAGGCATCCAGCACCCCCTCCCCACTGCTGACATGGATTTCCAGATCATATGGCTTGTGCCAGCTCAAAGATGCAGGACACAGCCCCCTACATCCTAGTCCTGCCCCTAGGACTTCCCAGGACCCACAGGAACGCAAGAAATGAAGACACTACTGCTTGAAACGAAGAGCATATTTCCCTCTGCTCCTGGCTAACTAACACCCTTTCATTCATTTATTCAACCTGCATTCTCTGAGCACCTATTCTATGGACAGAGATGAGGACATAGCAGTGACTGAGATATCCCCCCACCCCCTTTCCCTCACAGATCTCACAGCCCAGTAGGGAAGACAGACTGAACACCAGCAATGACCCAGCATGGTCAGGGCTAGGACAGGGAAGCCGAGAGGATGGTGGCAGCCCAGACAGGGCACCTGACCCAGCCTGGGAAGGTCAGGGAGGGCTTCCTGGAGGAGGGGCCTGGAACAATAAGTAAGAGCGAGCTAGATAAAAGCAGGGAAGAGTACTCCAGGAAGTTGAACTAGCATCTTCAAAGGCTGGAGGGGGAGTTTGTTCACTGTGACTGAAGCATACAGAACACTGAGAAATGACAATGGTGAAACCCACAGACAGATGGACATACACACGCACGCATGCACACACACACTGCACTTGTGTCTACTACATGAAACAAAAACCTACCTGACCCTTAACCCGAAGGGAGGGGCAGAGCACAAAGGGTGTCCCCTCCTTGGTACAGGAAACACCAAGCCCCAGACTCTGTCCTTCCAGATCGTACATGGAGAAACTGAGACCCAGAAAGAAGCAGCCAGCTGCCCAAAGCCACACACACAGACTTCTGTACATCCACTCAAACACCGTAGCGATTCCAAACTCCTTCTGATTTCGAATATTTGCCTGAAGCTCTGTCCCCAGAAGAAAAGCACAGACACACACACACACTTTTAAAAAAAATTGATTTATAACATACTGCCTTGAAGTACAAAATCTTAAGTGACTACTTAATAAATCCGTACATATTCTTTTTTATTATCAAAAATACAGTAGCAAAAATGGAGTCATCTTATGCTTTCCTCCCAATACACACACAAACACACACAAGAGTCCGCACACCCCAGCTTGAGCACAGGTAGCTCAGTGGTTAAAAGCCCAGACTCTGAACCCAGACACCTGGGTTCGAAACCCTGAACTTTCACTACTGGCTGAGTGAACTTGGACAGATCCCAAACCTTCTCTGTGCCTCAGTGTCTTTAGCAGTAAATTGAGAATAATAATATTGCCTAACTCCTACTTGAAGTGCACAAATATATACAAAGTGCTTAGAATAGTGTCTAACACTTGGTATTTTGTAAGCACCAGCTGTCATTATTGGACACTCTTTCAGGGGCTAACCGAGCCCCCCAAAGCCCCTGTGGACCCCAGTTGGGAACTACAAAGGGTGGGAAATCCCAGCCTCCCTGAGCTGGAAGGGATCCTTGCAATGGAGAAATGGAGAGCAGAGCCATTTCAGCCAGGCTCTCCCTAGGGCTACCTCGCTCCCCCGCCCCCAGTTCCCACCCTGACCCACACCCTTTCCTATTTACACCCAGACGGAGGCAGCCTGCACGCTGACTCACCCTTGGCTCAGACAAGTCCATTGTTCTGGGGTTGGGGGTAATAAGTGAGGAACAGTGGCCCAGAGGAGAGGGAGGATGTCAACTATCCAAGTGCCCCCAAGACAGTGACACCCGGACACATGGTGAGACTGGCATGCCAGGCTGAGATGGCCAGCGAGGGGTCAGGATGGTGGCACCATCATGCTGCGCTAGAATGCTCACAGGAGACTGGACCCTCACCCCCAAATGTCCCAGACACTCAGGCACATGAAACCTGGCGCACACTCAAGACCTTTCACAGACTCAGGAGCTAACTGGTCCCTGCAGACAGTCCCACCCAGAGAGAGAGACAGACACCCACTGCACACACCAAACATGCACAGCTCAGCTGGGCACACACCCTGTCACACCAGCTGGTCACCGTAGAGCCGTCTTTGTCCGGCTGTAATGCATATACATCCAGACACACACACACCAGTCCTCCTGTCAGACTGACACTTGAGTCTGCCTGTCGATCTCTCTCTCACTCTTGCTCACACTGACACACACCAGTGTGATAGAGTCTTGTCTGTCTGTCTCCTACGCACAGGCTCACGCACATATACACACATACCACACACCAGTCATCCAAATAGTCTTTTGAACACCGAAAGGTGTCTGGTTGTCTCTTTGCTGCCAACACTCACGCTGACATCCAGTCTCAAAGTGATATTCATTCATCATACAGCCCCAGTGCTGCTTCATGAGACTCTTTGTTTCTTTCTCTCAAACTCTCCTGGACAAGCAATTCGGTCTCACAAACAGTATATCCATAACCTTGAACATCACAGTGACACCCAAAGTCTTTCCCATGTGCAAGAGTGCACATATCTTTACTGGATTCATTGTGTCACACTGTTCACTTCTCAGTCTCTCCCACACTTTCTCTTACACACATACACAGATAAAGATAATTTAACCAGTCCAGCCCGGGTATACACATGCATGGGCACGCGTGCATGCACATACACACACACACACACACACACACACACACACCACTCACCCAAACAGCCTCACAGATATATTCTCACTGGTCAGAGTGTCACCCGGAGTCTCTGTCCCACACACATATATCCCAACATCATCCAGAGTTGGCTTCTCTTCTCCCCACTGCCTCCCTACCTCTAGTGTACACACGTGCGCGCACACACACACACACAGAGTAAGGATGCCTAGGTTAGAACTACAGCCAAAATCTAGACAATCTCCAGCAAAGGCATCCACCTCACCCTCCTTTCTTCATCCCTGAGTCCCTTCCCTTCCATGAGTTGTCTCTGCTCTCCCCTGTCCATACCCTTGCCCTCCCCCACCCTTCAGCCCTCCATCTGGTGGGTCCAGGCGGGCACTCTGGCCTCTCTTCTGTCTCCCCCATCCCCCAGCCCTTCCCCATCCTCTCCAAAAGCCCAGAGGCCTTCGCTGCAGGCTTTCAGGGGTTGCCACGGCAACGGGGCTTCGTCCCTCGTCCCCCTGGGGGTGGGCTGAGGACCCGGCCAGCCAGACCGATAAGGGGGTTCCAGTTACTGTGGCAACCGTTGCAGGCCTGAGCTCTCGGTTTCTGGGGGGGGGGAGGGAGTGAATGGTTGCCAGAGCAACCTGGAGCCAGCAAGGACTGGGAAGAGGCAGCTGAGCCCTGTCTCCCCTGCCCAGGGCTGCTGTGGGCATCGCAAAGCACTTAAGTATCATTCTTCCATGCCCTGGGGTTGTTTTGGGGGAGGGACATGAAGTGCAGATTATAAAACAGGCATTCCACTCACTTTCCCAGTTACCCATCATGGCCTGGGAGTCCATGCCAGCTTCCCCAGGCTTACCATGTGACCTGGGCCCAGCTAGGTCCACTTTCTAGATTTAGGTTTTCTCTTTCCATTAAATGGGGCCTGTCTCCCAGGAATCTTCCCATTCCTGTGTGATGAGGGTGCCCTCTCTCTCCCTTGCTCAACAGGAACCACAGAACGAGTATGCCTGGTACAGGGCACAGCAGAGGCCTTGAATGCTGTGCACAGCTTTATTGCTGAGAAGGTCCGAGAAATCCCACAAGCAATGACCAAGCCTGAGGTGGTCAACATCCTTCAACCCCAAACCACGATGAACCCCGACAGAGCCAAGCAGGTCAGCAGGGGCAAAGACTGGGTTTCTGTAAAGCCGGTGAGGTTCGGGAGAAAACACTTCTCCCATATCACTGGATTACTGTGGGAATTGAATGGGATAACGCCGATAAGACGTTTGTCAATCAAATACATAGTAGTAGTTGTATTATTAGGGAGTCAGCCTAGGGACTCCAAACCTTTTAGAGTGGGCTTGACACAGAGAGAGAGTGAAGGTCTGGGAGAATTTGTCCCACCCTATCCCTCCTTCCTGGGATTCTCTAGACCCTCTCCTTCCTTCCACCTCATCCCATTGTCTCCCAGAGCAACCGGCCTCCCACTTCCTGTTCTCACCGGAAGTGACTTCATTGACAACCCATCCACATCCAGAAGAGTTTAGAAATGGCCTCATACTCCCTGTTTCCATTAATTATGGTATGGGGTAAGTCACCATTTTGGAGAAATGGGTGTTTTGCTAGCGAGAGAGAGGGGGCAGGTCCCTCTCCTACACAGCCCTCTCTAGGAGGGATGGAAGGAGGGCAGCGCCTCTTGGTTGCCTCAGTTACGGGGAAGCGGCGGCGTAGGGGCGTGGCAGGGAGCGGACCAATCACTACCCTGGCCTCTCTGGTTGCCATGACCACGGTGCTCACCGGGCAGGTGGGCTTGCTGCAAAGCCCCTGGCGTGGCCCTGGATGGGTAGGAGGTGGAGGGGAGGGGAGCTGCGCACACTCCCCGTTTTCTCTCCCCTTCCCCACTCCCATATACTTGCACACACGATGCAGAGGGGCCAGAGCCCCTGGCAGGAGGACAGGCCATTTGCGAGGGCTCCTTAACGTCTACCTAGAAGCAAAGACGAGAGAGAGACCCTCGGTAAAAGGAATCTGGAGTTGTTGGGAATTCTTGTTAACCTGAGATGGGAGAAACCATGGACCTGAGTTCCCCCAAGCTCCTGGGGAAACGGTGGGCGGAAAGCCCTGGAAGAATGCTGCCAAGCGAATTATTCCCAAAAAAGACTTCGGGCTTGGGGCTCCGAGCTTGGAGCACGGCTGCTGTCCTTGGTGCTGAAGAGGCCCTGCCAGGTCTCTCCCGAATCCCTTCCCACCAGCAGGCCACACCGTTTACACGGTGGCAAGGATATTGCCTCTTCCCTCTACTTTGGTCGCTGCCACAAAGGGCTCAGAGTTCATGAAGGGTTTGCACATGTTTCAGAGAAAATGGGGTCAGCACCATCTGCGCCTGATCCTTCCACCCCACCCCCTAATCCACAGGAACTCTGAGATAGTGGAATCGAAATGTTATAGAACCAGGATTTTTCCTCTCCTTATTTATTACTTAGGGGGCTCTAAAGAATGGAAGATAATGGCTGAAGGCTCAGGCTCTGGAGTCAGATGTTGAGTTGAATCTTACTCCGATAACTTACTTCTTTAGACCTGTGCGACCTTGAACAAGTGCCTTGATTTCTCCATGCCTCATTTTTCTCAACTGCAAAATGAGATTCATTATGGCACCTACTTAAGGGCAGTGATCAGTGTCACTGATGTTTAAAAAGCACTTAGCATGTATGCCTAATTCATAGAAAGTTCTCAAAAAATGTTAGCTGCTGATATTATTATGGGATTTTTAAGTCAGGAGACGGGTCTACTCTCTTTCTACATTGGACTTGCTGTGTTACTCTGGGTTCCTTTCCCTTCTGTAAGCCTCAGTTTCCTTTCTTTACAGTGTGGAAGCTGGGCCAAATCAGGGATTATAAATTGAAATGCCTCCGAGATTCAGCAAGGGAACATAGAATTGAGGACTCTGGCCTCATCAGAGAGATATAATGCCATCCCTAAAGGGGGCAGCTGCTACTCAACTCGACTCAATTCTTGCCCTTTGGGAATGTAGACAAAGTGTTGCCACATCTTACAAATTTTTCAGAAGAAGCCAGAAATATTTGACATCAACTGATTTTTAAGGGTTGGCTCAATCTTAAAACCACTATGTGGCCGTGGGCTGCCTGTGGCCTGAGGACCACCAATTTGCCACCTCTGGGTTAGACTGGTGGTTCTCAGTCCTGGCTGGTATCTGAATCATCTAGGTAGCTTAGAATGCAGATTCCTGGGTCCCAGCCCTGGGCCACTGAATCAGAATTTCTGGAGTGAAGGCTTGGGAATCTGAACACAGATTCTGGCCTGGGATCAGATCCTGGCTCTATTACTTACTATCTCTGTGACCTTGAGCAAGTTACTTAACCTCTCTTGCCTCTGTTTTCCAAGCCATAAAATTCGATAATAAAAGTGCCTGCCTATTCTTATAGGGTTGTTATAGAGATTAAGTGACTATGTGAAAGTGTTTACCAAAGTGTCTGGCAAATGGAAAGACTGTTAGCTGTATAATTATTATTATACTATTACCATTTGCAAATCTCTACAGACTTGCAAATTATGGGGACAGATGTTCTCTGAGGTCTTTCTGGCCCTAAAACTCCTACAATTCTACAGCTCTGTAATTTCAAGATTCTTAACGTACATTATTCTAAGATTCTACTGTTCTGACTGACATCCTGGCACTCCAGGATTCTATGAAACTGCACCTGTGATCTCTCAAAGATGCTGTGGGTCTACCACCTGGGCCTATCATGAAGACAGTTAAGCATTTGCCACTCCGGTCATTGACTATTCCCAATGGTTGTATGGAGTAGCTGTGGTTACATCCATGTTGGAGGAGAGGAAACGAGGTGCAGAAAGGTGAAGGCATTTGCTCTTACCATTTCTTGGTGAACAGTTACTTCATCCTTCCTTTTTCCCTCTGAAATGCTGTATCATACTGAATACCTCTTGACTCTTAGGTCTGGTTTCATGCATTCTGTTCCATCCTCTTGACTTGTCAGACTTTTTTTCTGATGATTTTTTAAAATATATAAGTTGAGGTATAATTCACATACTGTACAGTTCACCATTTTAAAGTATGCCATTTAGTGGTGTTCAGTATATTCACAAAGTTGTGCATTGATCACCTAATGTAATTCCAAAACGTTTTCACCACTCCAAAAAGAAGCTCCATCCTCTTTGGCAGTCACTGTCCGTTCTCCCAGCTCCCCCTTCCTGTCCCAACCACTAACCTACTTTTGGTGTTTATGGATTTGCCTATTCTGGATGTTTTATATAAATTGAATGACATAATACATGGCCTTTTGTGTCTGGCTTCTTTCCCTTAGCATACTGTTTTCAAGATTAATCTGTATTGTAACATATATCAAAACTTAATTCCTTTTGGGTGCCTGGGTGGCTCAGTTGGTTAAGCAACTGCCTTCAGCTCAGGTCATGATCCTGGAGTCCCAGGATCGAGTCCCGCATCGGGGGGGGGTCCCTGCTCAGCAGGGAGTCTGCCTCTCCCTCTGACCTTCTTCCCGCTCATGCTCTCTCTCTACCATTCTCTCTCTCAATAAATAAATAAAAATCTTTATAAAAAAAAACTTAATTCCTTTTTATGGCCAAATAATATTCCACTGTACGGATATACCATACTTTGTCTATCAGTTGATAGTCATTTGGGTTGTTTCTACTTTTTAGTTATTATGAAGAATGCTGCTATGAACATATGTGTGGGTATGGTTTTCAGTTCTTTGGAGTATATATCTATGGATGGAATTGGGTCAGATGATATGTCTAACCTTTTGAAGAATTATCAGACTATTTTGCAAAGCAACTGTACCACAGATATGAGATTTAAATCCAGGTCTGCCCATGGAGGTAACAATGACAACAACCATTTCTTGAGTACCTACTATGAGCACATATTACCTGCACACTCACATGGCACCCTATGCTTAGCACATAGTAGGTTCTCAGCAAATGTTGCTTGTTTGAATAAATGGATAATGACATACCTGTAAGGGCCAAGCAGAAACATAACTAAGGGGCACTAGCCCCTCAATCAAGCTCATCATTTCATGAATGATCTCAGTTAGCCTTCACAATAATTCTGTGGAGGAGGGATGGATGTTATAGATAAGAAAACTGAGTCTCAAAGAGGTTAGGTCCCTTGCCCAGCATTAGTGGTGGAGCCAGGATTTCAAACCTGAGCAAGTGTCTCCAGAGTCCAAAGCAGCTTTTCAGGGATTCATATGCACAAACTGCAAACTAGTGGTCTGCTACTACACAGTAGTTCATAGACCTTTTGAAGAGGTAGCCAATAGATAAAAACTAAGGTTCTTCCCATTTTACAAATCAGAATGTCCAATTAATCTAAAAACTCAGATCAGGCTGAGCTTGTGTACCAAAATGCACAGCACTCTACCTCCCCACCTCCACACACACACACACCACCACCACCACCATAGGTGAGATACACCTGGTCACCTCCATCAAGTCTCATTCCTGCTTCGTCCTGTGGGCACATCACCGTTCCTTTCATCCATCCACCCATCCATCCATCCATTCACACACTCTTTGCTCAATGCTTACAAGGCATTCCCCTAGGCACTGAGAACCAAGTAGTAAACAATACAGACAAAAATCTCTGCCCTTGTAGATCTTACATCCTTTCACGGGGAAACCGAAAACAAGCAAGCGAATAAGTAAATGTCAGAGAGTAAAAAGTGCTATGATGAAAATAAAGCAGAAAAAGAGGAGGAAAGAGTCCTGGGGCATTTTTTTTTCTCCTTTTTATTTTGAAAATGTTGAAGAATAATACGGTGAACTCCCTATACACTGCACTTAGATTCACCAATCGTTAACATTTGCTTTATCTCTGTACACACACACACACACATACACACGAACACACACAAGCACTGGTTGGCTTTATTTGCTTGTTTGTTGGGTGGTTTGTTTGTTTTTGCTGATCCATTTGAAAATAAGTATAAACCTCATGACTCTTCACACCCAAGTTCTTCGGCATGCATCTCCCAAGACTAAGGACATGTCCTATATTGTTATGTTACTGTTATCACACCTACAAAAATTAACACCAATTCCATGCTATTAGTTAATAAAGAGTTCATATTCACATTGTCCCCAAATATCTTTTATGTCTATAAAGCATTTTTCTATCCAAGATTCAGTCAATATTCATGCATTGCATTGAGTTGTTATACCTCATTAGTCTCTTTTATTTTTTTAAAGATTTTTTTTTATTCATTTGAGACACAAAGATACAGAGAGAGAGAGAGCATTAGCGGCGGAGAGGCAGAGGGAGAGGGAGAAGCAGGCTCCCTGTTGAGCAGGGAGCCCGATGCGGGACTCAATCCCAGGACCCTGGGATCATGACCTGAGCCGAAGGCAGACGCTCAGCCATCTGAGCCATCCAGGTGCCCCTTCTCCTTAGTCTCTTTTAATCTAGAATAATCTACTATATATATATTTTTTAAGATTTTATTTTTTTAAAGTAATCTCTACACTCAATATGGGGCTCGAACTTACAATCCCGAGATCAAGAGTTACACACTCCACCGACTGAGCGAGCCAGGCACCCCGTTTACTATATATTTTGAAGGTAGAGACAACAGAATTGCTGATTGGATGTTGAGTGGGAGGAAAAGAGAGGAGTCCTAAGTCTTGAGCCTGAGAAGTGAAAGGTGCATTTTCCACATACTGAAATGAGGAAGACCGTGGTAGAAACACATTTGAGCAGATGAGGAGTTCCACTTTGGATTTTAAGTTTGCAGTGTCCATTTGACATCATTCTAGAGTTGTGAGGTTAGCAGCTGGATACAAGTCTGGAGGTGTCTGTGCTAAGGACATAAAATAAGCAAATAAACAAGCTTTGATAATTGGGGTGGTAAGGCCTCTCTAAGGGGGTGCATTTGTGTAAAGACCTGAATGATGAGAGAGGTGAGCCTCCTTTTCTGGGAAGGAGCATTCTAGGTGAGGGCATAGCAGGTGCAAAGGCCCTGAGTCTGCACCAAGCTTGCGACTTGGAGGAACAGCAGGGAGTCTAGTACACCTGCCATGAAGTCAGCAAGAGGGAGGGAGGGAAAAGTTGAAGTCAGATCAACAAAGAACAGAGCAAGTAGAGCAGTGGTTCTCAGGCTTGTCAAACCCCATGTCCTCTTTCTCCTACAAATATTTTCCCAGCCCTCCTACCTCTGAAATTACACACACACACACACACACACACACTCATTTCAGTACATGGAAAGTGCATATAATGTAGATGTATTACCTATCTAAATCTGCAAGATTGTTAACAGTTTTATTGAGATATTAATTCACATACATACAATTCACCCATCGAAAGCATGCAGTTCAAAGTTTTTATTATATTCAGAATTGTGCATCCATGCCCACAATTTTAGAACATTTCATTTCCTCAGAAAGAAATCTTGATCCCCTTAGCTATCACTCCTCAATCCCCACAGCTCAGCACCACCCCCCAGCCCTAAGCCACCACTAATCTACTTTCTGTCTCTATAGATTTCCCTGTTCTGAACATCCATATAAATGGAATCCTACAATATGTGGTCTTTGGTGTCTGGCTTCATTCACACAGCGTGTTTTCTAGCTTCATCCATGTTGTAGCCTGGATCAGTACTTTGTTCATTTAAATTGCCAAGGAATATTCCATTGTACTCATGTACATTTTCTTTATCCCGTAAGACTTTTTTACGTAAAGGAAAAGTAAAAGGAGGGTGATGTGTTATAAAATGAGATGAATTTTAATATGTAAATGTTACATATTACTACAGAAGTAATGAAATAGTCAGCTACTCACACCTCACATAGCCTGAGAAAGACAGTGACAAACACAGTGATCCAGGGTATCATTTCGGAGATGTAAATAACATATGTGGCATTACTACTGTTGTCATGGTTGTTTTGTTTTTTTTTTTAAATGATGAACCACTCTTGGTAAAGCTCAGAACAAAACAAAGTAAAATCGTCCCTTCGTTGACCGATTAGTTGCATTCCTGGAAATTTCAGTAGATCTTAAACACGTGGGAAAAAGAAAATACTAGGTACTCATATGGACCGTCGGGTTCAGGTCTGGGCTCTGAGATTTATAAACAGACTTTTCGCCAACATGAATGTCCAGGGAGTCACTTAAAAGTCATACGGGACCCGGACAGTTCTCCTCGGTTCGACGTTGTGAATAACTGAGTCTCAGGTTGTGGGGTGCCAACATCCAAGGCCCTGCCCCACTGCCTGCCTGCATCTGCCCCCCCCCAGTTGTCATGACAACTAAAAGCGCTCTCACAAATTTCCCAAACACCCTTGGTGTCTGGCTCAGGGGCGGAGAGGAGAGGCAGGGGCTTCAGGGAGTGGAACCCACAGGTCTGAGAGGGCCTGGGAAGGACTGAGCAACAGGAACCTATGTGTAGAAGTGCTCTTATGTGAAAGGAGACTTTTGGTTTTGAAATCTCCCCCTCCCCCACCCCCAGAACTAAGATGGATCGGATTTGCAGCGGCAAAGGATGGGCCTTTCTGCACTGGAGAAGGGGACGACTGTATTTAAGTGCCCAATTGTCTCTGATGTAAGGTTTTTTTATCTTCATTTTACAGATAGGACAACTTCATTAGATTGCTAGGGCAGACCAGGTAGCTTAAGCAACAGAAATTCATTTTCTCACAGTTCCGGAGGCTAGAAGTCTGAGATCTGGGGCAGGGTTGGTTTCTTCCGAGGCCTCTCTCCTGGGCTTGGAGATGGTCGTCCCCTCCGCAGTCACACGTCTTTCCTGTGTGTCCCTGTGTCCTAATCTCTTCTTATAAGGACACCAGTCCTACTGGATTAGGGCCCACCCCAATGACCTCACTTAACCTTCATTGCCTCTCTAAAGACCCTCTCCCCAAATACAGTCATATCCTGACGTACTAGGGGTTAGGACTTCAACATCTGAATGGCGGGGGCAACAATTTGGCCCATAGCAAAAAGAGGTTAAGCGCCGTGACCTTGCCATAGGGTGGGAAACACGACGGAGCAGGAATCCAAGAGGCTGGATTACAGCTCCTCCACAATCTGGGTAACCTTGGGGCCAGTCCCTCGTAGGCCTCAAGTGACTCCTCTGTAAAGTGAGACTTAATCACTCCTTTTTCTGGGGCTGGGAGTCAGAGTGTTTAATGATCTAGAAGGCGTGAGCACCAATGCAAGCTGGGAGCACCTGCTGTCCTGGAGGGCACCCACTGGGTCAGCCATTAAGCCTTTAAGGTGCTGGATGGAAGGGAAATCCCAGGGGTCCCAGGGGCAGGGGACAGGGTGGCTGAAAGCCTACTGAGAGGGCATGGAGTAGTACTGGCTCTCTCTTTTCTTTTTTTTTTTTAACCAACCAATATGGAAGTATTTCACCATTTTGAACAAGCAGTAGGACCATACCGGTGTATATCAAAGGGCACAGCGGGCGCGATTTGGGGACGCGGGAGAGCAGGGCCACCTGAAGACTAATGTTACCGTTCAGTCTCCATCCACCATCCTAAAGCCCCTCCCTCTCGCCCCACACGCAGGCCAAGCTGATCGTCCCCAACAGCACCGCGGGCCTGATCATCGGCAAGGGGGGCGCCACAGTGAAAGCCGTGATGGAACAGTCGGGTGCCTGGGTGCAGCTGTCCCAGAAGCCGGAGGGCATCAACCTTCAGGAGCGTGTGGTGACAGTCAGCGGCGAGCCGGAGCAGGTGCACAAGGCCGTGAGCGCCATCGTGCAGAAGGTACAGGAAGACCCCCAGAGCAGCAGCTGCCTCAACATCAGCTACGCCAACGTGGCTGGCCCCGTGGCCAACTCCAACCCCACCGGCTCACCGTACGCCAGCCCCGCCGATGTGCTGCCCGCCGCTGCCGCCGCCTCGGCTGCTGCCGCCTCTGGCCTGCTGGGCCCCGCGGGGCTGGCGGGCGTGGGCGCCTTCCCGGCCGCCCTGCCTGCCTTCTCAGGCACCGACCTGCTGGCCATCAGCACGGCGCTTAACACGTTGGCTAGTTACGGCTACAACACCAACTCCCTCGGCCTGGGCCTCAACTCGGCCGCGGCCTCCGGGGTCCTGGCCGCCGTGGCCGCTGGTGCGAACCCCGCCGCCGCCGCCGCCGCCAACCTCCTGGCGTCCTACGCGGGCGAGGCCGGGGCCGGGCCCGCCGGAGGGGCCGCCCCGCCTCCGCCCCCGCCCCCCGGAGCCCTGGGGTCCTTCGCCTTGGCCGCAGCCGCCAACGGCTACCTCGGGGCCGGGGCGGGCGGCGGGGCGGGCGGTGGGGGTGGCCCGCTGGTGGCCGCCGCAGCTGCAGCCGGGGCCGCCGGGGGCTTCCTGACGGCAGAGAAGTTGGCAGCTGAGAGTGCCAAGGAGCTGGTGGAGATTGCGGTGCCTGAGAACCTGGTGGGGGCCATCCTGGGCAAAGGGGGCAAGACGTTGGTGGAGTACCAGGAGCTGACAGGCGCGCGCATCCAGATCTCCAAGAAGGGAGAGTTCCTGCCTGGCACGCGGAACCGGCGGGTCACCATCACGGGCAGCCCTGCGGCCACGCAAGCCGCTCAATACCTCATCAGCCAGCGGGTCACCTACGAGCAGGGAGTGAGGGCCTCAAACCCCCAGAAAGTGGGATGAGGCCTGTGGTGTGTGCTCCCACCCCTCCTCCTCCCGGCCCCTTCTCCTCCTCTCCCTTCTCCTCCCCTCCCCCACCCCCCACTCCCAACTCCTGACCTCAGCTCGAGTGTAGTCCTGCTCCTCGTGGGATGGGGCTGGGGTAAGCCTGACTGCACCCCCCCTCCTTCTGGTAGTCATAGGCAGGATTGAGTGATGGCTGGGGATGGGGCCCAGAAGCTCCCTCCCCAGCTCTGAACTGACCCTTCTTCCTTCCTCCCTAAGCTTGACTGGGCCTGACCCTCCACTCCCAGGGCCCGGGTCTGTGTGATATCTGTATATATTGCATTTTGTTGATTTTAATAGAAAACAAAGCGTTATTTTCTCTTTCTTTCCCTCCTTTTTTTTTTCTTTTTTCTTTTTTCTTTTTTCTTTTCTTTTTTCCTTTTATTTCCGTTTTTTCTTTTTTTTTTTTTTTTTTTTTGGTAAGGATTTTTTCCCCCTTTGTAAGTTTTTGTTTCCATATGGGAGGAGGGGAGGGAGCCTCTGGGCCACCTAGAATGAGGGGCCTCCCCCAAACAACACCCCACCTCTCCTGCTTTCAGTTCCAGATCTGAGAGAAAGGATGGGAGTAGAGGTAGCCAAGGAGTCTGAGCTGAAATGGGGTATTTGGAGCAGGGACCCCAGAGTTCCCAGATTTTCTCAGCGACTCTACCCCTATTGGAGCTGCCCCTCCTAGGTGGGACTGTTCACTGTTTTGTTGTCAGGTCGTATAGGGGGAGGGGGTGCAGTGCTGCTGGGAATGAGGCCAGCTCTAGGATTGGTCCAGTCCTGTGGGCAAGACTCTTGTGAGAGGCTGGAACAGCTTCCTTTGGCATCTTCTGTGGTTTTACCTAGAGTAATGGGAATGAAGGTCCCTGTTGGGATGTCCCTGAGTCAAGTACTCTCTGGGGTGCTGCTGGGACTCCTTCTGATGTCATGGGAAGTAGTTCCCCAGAGGTCACTTCCTGTGATGATAGGACAGACAGGTACTTCCTATGATGTCTCAGTGGACCTTCCTTGAAGGTTACTTCAGCAACATCATGGGGGCATGTACTTCCTGTGGTATCTCCAGGTTATTTCCTGTGATGTCACTGGGATGGAGCATGCACTTCCTGAATTGGGCCATGGCCAGTCACTGACACTCCTTCTCCGCCCGCACCCCTCTTTGGTGGGTCTTGGCCTGGGGGTCTGCCTAGGAGGAGAATAAGGGGTGGGACTTGGAGCATATCTGGAGGACTCTAAGGAAAAAGACCCAATATTGTCAGGGTCATCTCTATCCAAATACACCAAGTCTGTGAACCTGGCAGGGAGGGGTGGGAGATGGAGCTAGTGAAAACTGTTAAAGACCCCCATTCCCACCCCCGCCTTTTGTGTGCATGCTTGTGTCTGCGTGGCTTTGTTCCATTGAGTCTGGTGAGCCAAATGTGTGGTGGCTCTGTCAGGCCATCATGACCCAGTGTAGAGTTCAGTGAGCCACGGTAGGGTCCCTTGAGCCTGAATGCTTCGTGTGGTCTAGTAGATTAGATTGGCTTGTGGTTTCCAGCAAGCTGGAGTACCTTTGGTGGTATTGGAGGGATCAGAATGTTTTGGTGCTCTTGCCATGGGCCCTGAGGAGCTAGAAAATTCTGATGGAGTCTGCCAAGCCAGGCAGCCCTGAGAGTTGGTTTGGGAGTGGCTCCCTGAGCACTGCGACTGTGGTCAGCTCTAAGGCCTTGTTGGCAGGCTGAGATTTCAGGGCCTGACAACCCTATGGACTTAGGATAGCTGAGACCCACCTCTCCCCTCATCCATCTCCCCCTCCCCCTTGGAGACCACCTCCACTTCCTCCAACCCAAAACAGGGCCCCCAGTGCCCTGGTTCCATCATCAGCATCTCTGGGGGAGGGGTACCCCACGCCCACCCTCTCCCCCATTTGTCCCCCTCCTAGGTCTTCCAGACCCTTCTCTACTCCATGGCTTTGGGGGAATCAGGCCTCCTCGTCTCTCTCCCACAAAGGGAAAGAAGAAAAGCCAGAGACAATTCCCACCTCTGAAGCCTGGGAGACCCCTGCCCCTTGCTAGAGAGCCACCCCCAAATCAAAATGTGAAAATCCCTAGAAAGCAATAGCCTTCAAGGTACCTTGCACTGAATTTCCCACCCCGGCCCTTCCGCCTGATGGGAGGCTGTAGCTTGGGCACTAGGGTGACTTTTTCCATGCCCTCTTCATCTCCAGGGTGGGGGGCAGGCCCCATTTTCCCATCCCCCATCGCTGCTGCCCCCACCCTTAATCTCCAGACTGAACCCAGATGGAGATTCGAGTGCCAAAACAATTCTTGATGTAACTTTGTACATATCTTCTGTGGCGGGGGGGGGGGGGCCGGGCTCTTGGGGTTGGAGGTGGAAGTGGCCCTGTGGGCCGCTGCTCCCCTCTGCCTCTCAGAAGACCCTATGGTATTTCACAGTATCTCCACCCACAGTGGGTATTGCAGTGTCTAGCTGGAATATGCCCCCTACAGCACCCCCCCCCAGGCCTTCATGAAGAGGGGAAGGAGCCAGGGAGAGGTAAAACGGTCTGGAAGTGGGGCGGTGGGATTTGAAAGCACTCATTTGCATATCATTTGCATCCTCAGCTGCCCTGGTCTGTCAGATGCTTTCTATAGCCCCTTTCATGGGAGTCTGGGTCCCCATCAGTGGGACCCAGTACTCCTCTCACACAGACACGTCTCTGGAGGCTGGGCCTCCTGAAAAGTGTTCCCTTGGGGTATCTGTGTGACTACCCCCTCCCTATTCACATTTCTCGGGGACCCCCTACCCCACCAGCCAGGGCTATCTGAAAGGTAGTTTGCTAGCTCAGTGAGCTAGTTCACTCACCAGGTTGGTGAGTGGAGAGCCACACACCTTTCCCCGTTTTTACCCTAGGAAATTCATTCTACCATCTTCCCCATCCCTTGAAAGTCTCTTCTGCATTCTGACCTCAATCTTTCGTGCTGCAGTATGTCCAGAGGGGACACAGATGTGGGGTCAGGGATGGGGATCATTGAAAAACCCACCGCCTCTTTCCCCCCCTTCCCTGTTAGCCAATCAGATCTCAGAGACTCTGAGTGGCCTCCTTGCACCCTGCTCTTTGGCACCCAGTAGGTGCTTAATAAGTGTTTGCTGCATTGAATTGTCTCCCTGTTCTTTCCCATTTGCCCTCCAGCTCCCAGCATCTTCTCCCAGAGTCTCCCTCCCTCTCTTCCTCTCTTCTTCTTTCTCGGGCTCCCTATGGCTTTCTACTTTCTCTCCTTGTGGCTCCCATTGTTGCCTGTCCTGTCTCTATCTTTGTCTGTCTTTTTCCCTCTCCTCACTCCTCTTAACTCTCTTTCCTCCCCCACCTTCCCATTGATTAAAAAAAAAAAAGTGCCAAACTTCCTTGGAACTGAGCCGCTCTGGGGGGGAGGGAACCTCAGATAGAGGGGAGGAAATGGGACCATCTCTCTCTGAGGAGGCCCCTAAGAGGCATTGAAAAAGTCTGTGGACACTTAGCTAAATTGGGTCCCCCTTCCTCACCCCTCCCACCCTGAGTTTTTCTTAGAATCTTTGTAAGAAAAAAAAAAAAAAAAGACAGAAAAAAACTCCCCTTCAGCTAATCCCTAACCTTTTGGATTCCCCAAATTCCACCAGCCGGGGAGAACCCCACTTGCCTCCTTCGGGCAAATCTGTAGAAATTGCAGGGGTGGGGGGAGAGACAAGCTCAGCCCCTCTTCTGCTGGCCCCAGGGATTGGTGCCAGCTGGATTCCAGAGAAGGACCTCAAAGCACTTATGAGAAGAAGGGGTTCAATGTGCCAAATTCACCTCCTTCATCCCCCGTCTCAGGGGGCTCTGAGCCAACCTGCCCCAGCCACCTTCTTCTGCCCTGTCCCAACCATCTCTCCATGGGCAAGGAGGCTTCACTGCAATAATTATTAGGGGATCAGAAGGTGAAGATCGTGCCATTTTTATCTGCCCTAACGCCTGCCCTGGACTTGTAGGTGGGAATTATTATGGGTACCCCAAGTGGAGTTTGGTAAGAGTCGGCTTATAGACGGTTGGGGACCTATACTTGGAAGAATATGGTACCACTTTTCTCTGAGTGGTATTTCTTCTCCCCCTTCTTAACTCCCAAGTCCCTCAATATCCCCCCTTTCTGTTTCTCTTGCCTATTCCTCCATCGCACGCCCTCCTTATTTTGTTTCTGATTGGTGGCCTACTGTTTGGAAAGTGAGGGGATCCCCCTGCATGGATTATTGCTGTTGCAAGACCAGGATTTGAGGTCGTGATGGCGCTGAGCGGTGGAAAAAGTATTCACTAAGAGTGGCGACGAGGATGGCAATTTGGGCGTCCAGGCTGCTGATTGGGTGCACACCTCTCGCGACAGCCAGGCAGGCCTTCGCGCTGTTTGCCACGCACCTGCCCCCGCCGACTTTGAACTCCGAGGCCGGCTGTCGCGAAAGCCTGAACCGGATGTCACGACGGGGAGAACGGGATCGCGATGCCCAAGTTGGGGCCCTGAGGGCCGGGGACACAAGTTTACGGCTCTCGTGGAGTCGCGACACCCAGCCCTGCTATCCGATCCCTCGCCACTGCAGTCAGCTGTCTGGACGCCGTGGTGGAGGGGCTTGTCTCCGTGGCGCCGCTGCTGGTGTGTGTAAGGTCCGTCTCAGTGCCCTCTGCCAGTCGCGTTGGGGATTGCTGGGTGGCAGGGAGGGAGATGGGGAACGTCTTTGGGGGGGGGCTACGGGGACGGGGGCTGCTGGTATTTAACCCCTTCTCAGCCAGTCCAGGACACTCTTGTCTCCCAGAGATAATTGGGGGGGGACCGCCTAATCCCCCTACCCCACACCTTTCCTCCTCCCTACCCGCTACCCCTCCCCCCAAAACCACCAACCTCTCATCTTCTAAGTGACTCCATCACCACCGGCCACCGGGACCTGCGGCCTCATTGCTCCAGCCCGCCCCACTCGACCGTCAGACTCGCTCATCGAACTCTTTTTGATTAACCCTTTCTGTGTTCATCCCACGGAAAACTGTGTGTCCGGCGAGGGGGAGGGGGGAGGCGAGGGGCAGTAGCTACCTTTCCTCCATCTCCTCCCACCGCCCATGCCTCCCCACTCGCACCCCATCCCATGCCCTACCCCCATCCCTCACCCCTAGGGTCCTCCCCGCCCTGGGGAGAGTGACCTTTATAAATATCTCAGCTGTTTGGCTTTGTCCCTTTCAAAGGCGGGGCCAGGGGCGTGGCCTCCTGCCAGTGGAGCGCTCACTCTGGCCCCACTCCTTTCTGTGCCGCCCCCCACTCCCCACCCCTTCATTGTAAATAGTCACTTTTGTACTGGGTTTGAGCCAGGGGA